CCTGTGGTCCTGCCTGCTTTGAGACCCCGCGGAAGGAGTCCCGCCTCCCGCCCGCGAGCCGGGGGGCGCCGGCAGGCCTGCGTTGCAGTGTCGGTGGCAAAGCTGACCGGTTTGTTCCCACCTCCAGGTCTGGACTTACAACGACGAGCACGAACTGGTTTTAAATAACCTCCTTTGTCTGGACGTGTCGGAGACGCGCTCCTCAGACCCCCCCCGCCTCATGAAGTGCCACGGGTCGGGAGGCTCGCAGCAGTGGACCTTCGGGGTGAGGCGGCCGCGTGGCCGGGGCTCGGGGCCCCCCGGGCGGGTGTGCAGCGGCCCCGGCGGGCGCCTGGCCGTCCCCGCGCTTGGCGTTTTAAGTACAAGCGGGGCACTCACGGCATTTTTCCTTGCTGCCTCCTTTTTTCAGAAAAATAACCGGCTGTACCAGGTGTCGGTGGGACAGTGCCTGAAGGTGGTGGACCCCCTGGGCCACAAGGGCTCTGTCGCTATGGCGATCTGCGATGGCTCCGCCTCCCAGCAGTGGCACCTGGAGGGTTAGGGGCCGTGCCCTGCCCCTGCCTGGATGGAGACGTCAGGTCCTTCCCGAGCTGCTGCAGGGAATCCCTCCCTCCCGGAGGGGGGCCGGAAAATCATCGGGTTCCGAAGGGTTGGATTTGTACGGAAGGCCAAAGCCGGGAAGTGGACATTTCTGTTCCTATTTATTTATGCCTCTTTCTAGTCCCCTTGCTGATGGCGTGGTTTTAATCGGATCAGGAACTTGTAATTTGCTTTCTTAGAAGACTTAATTTGACACTTTTTTTCTATTATGTTCTAAATAATTTAAAAAATGGTTGATCCACATTAAACGTCATGACACATCATAATGTTAGGAGGCACCTGCTGTAAATTGATGACTTACGGCTCTGTCTACGTTCAGAATAAAAGGTCCTGTTGGTCATTGGGGTGGTTTTGCTCTGCTCGTTCTGTGTCCCGGGCGCGGCGCGGCGGGGCGGTAACGCTGGGAGCAGCTCGCGGCTCTCAGGAGCCCTGCACTGTGCGCTGGGACACGCGTCAGAGGAGCTCCCGGGCAGAAGAAAATCTGGTGAAGGCTGGGTGCAGTACAAACTTTTCCCCCCAAAAGTTAATCTCAGAGGAGACACTGTCTCATGGTTCAGGAACTCAGCGATTTTTATCCTAAACTACAAATCGGGTTGAGCACTGCACTGGTTGTGTGGTCTGTATCCCAGATACTTTACCTTTGACTTCAAAGACCATATGGTACGTCTAGAAAGCAAAGCGCAGCAAGATGATGGATTTGATCCCAACAGGACACATAATCACAGTAAATGTAATACTCTGGTTAAAAGGCAGAAACGGGGTTTGGTGGTACCAAACGTATAATCTAGTTCTTGGGAGGCTGAGGCAGGAAAACCACTACATCTCATTAAAAAAAAAAAACAAAAAAGGGGCGCAGAGATCGTCAGAGTGAATAAACATGCAAGACCAGCTACAGGCCACCCACAAGCAACTCACTACAAATACGAAGTCTTTCAGTGCTAGATACACGTCAAACATAGCCATGTTTAGTATTACAGTAGACCTCGGCAGGGACCATTACCATGGATGGCAGGGTCCTTTCATGATAAGCAGAGCTTCATTTCATCCGAGAAAATAAGCCGTTTACGTACTAAAGACAAAACTCGGGGCAGACACACGAACGCTGACAGTAAGCTGTCTCCACACACTGTCAGCTTGAACCGCAGCTTCCAACCTGACGCAGCTGGCGTCCATGGAGCGCTGCCCCAGGCTGTCCCAGCACATAAACCAGACTTAGTAACCGCATACAAATTCAAGTTACGCAAAGCATGTAAGCAGGCAGCAGTAACAAACTGACCAAAAGATACCTGGAGACTCTAGGTATCTGGAGGCCAGCCCACGTCGGAGCTCCTGTGGTTCAAAGAAGAAATCGCAAGGCTGTTTTAAGCTGGCTGGCGTGACAGGTCTGTGGCATGCCCCAGCGAGTACGCGGAGACTGACTAGCACCGGGCACCTCTGTTAGCAAAGGATCAAAGGCCCAGTTCCACCTTCAGGGAAGGAACAGAAGGTCAGGAGCTCAAAGCAGGCGAAATAAAACGTTAAGGGTCAGTGCAGAAAGAAATGAAATAGAGAACAACGTCAGTGCAACAGCTCGTTTGAAAGGCGTGGTACAACATCAACCTCTGGGCGGAAGAGAAAGCAGACTCGGGCCGCGGAAGGGGCGCCAGCCGGCCTGCAGCGCTCCCGAAGGCGGCCGCGCCTCGCACGCGCACCGGTCCGTGCGCGCCCAGGGGCGCTCAAAGCCCCGACCCGCGGCACGCGGACACGGCAGCAGTCTCGGCACTGCCGAAACGGAAGAGGGCGGGGAAACGCGCTCAACAGATTCCAACGCCCTTCTTCGACTTCACAAAATGAAAGTCATGGACCGCTGCTTTCGGAAAGAAGAGCGCTGTTCCAGCCTTGCCGGGCGAGCGAGCCTGCGGAGGACACTCACACGGGCCTCCAGCGAGGCGCGGCCGCCCGGGCGAGCCCGAGGCCCGACAGGTCTGTGAGGGTGAGGATAACGCAGCCCGTCGGGCTCTGCCACGGGTGGCAGCGTCCTGGCGCCTGCCCTCCAGACCCTCCTTCCTGGGTGGCCACGCCTAAGGCCTGCGGCGTGCTCGCGCCCACGCGGGACAGCCCGAGCCGCTCCGTCTGCTTGGTTTCTTTGTTTGTTTTTTTTTTTGTTTTTCTCCGGTACCGGGAATCGAACTTACGACCTTGCGCTTGCCAGCAGGCGCTGCGCCGCTGAGCTAAATCCCCAGCTCCGTTTGTTTGTTTCAGTCTGCTTGGTTTAGACCTCTCCCGTGGAGGCGAGTGAACCGCTCACTCTGTTGACTACTAGTGTTTATCTGCATGACCGCAGAGAAGGAAGAAGGCTTAGTCGAGGGCAGCGAGATCTACGGAACCACCCGCCGCGCTCGCAGGACGGGCCCCGCGGCAGGGCAGGCGCGCTGGCTCTTCGGGCGGCACGAGCAAACAGACACGAGGCGCCGTGCAGAGCAGAGGAGCAGCACGTGGGGATTTGCAGAATATGATCGAAAATGTAGAAAATCTGCAAAAATCCTACTGCAGACCATTCCTGCCTTAAAATGGTTCAACTGTAGTGGCTTTCCAGTGGAACAGAGGTGCCGCCATCGCACCCGTTTTTCACTTTCAATACGAGTGAAGCCCTTGAGATCGTCCACACACTTGTACCAGACTCCGTGCGGCTGATTCTGCCCACTGCAGGCCGCCCGTGCTCAGCACCCCAAGCACAGGCTGGTGCGCTGGGACCTGGGACGTCAGGCGTGTCAAATGCGTGCGTTTTCACTGACAGTTGATTGGCTTTTTGCCCCGCTGTAATTCCTGCTGAGTCGCTATGGCGCCCAGCCAATATGGCGCAGGAGGTCATGTGGTGTGGTGCTGAGTCGCTATGGCGTCCAGCCAATATGGCGCCGGAGGTCATGTGGTATGGTGCTGAGTCGCTACGGCGTCCAGCCAATATGGCGCTGGCCACTAGAGGCCATGTGCTAAGCCCCACCCTTCTTCCGCTGAGTCAAATTACAACTTCCTACTTCCCTTTTTGTAATATCCTGTTTCCTTTTCCCACATTCCCACCCAATCCTGCCCTGCCGTGTCAGGAGCTCCGCCTCCTAAGCCCCGCCTCCAGCCTGGGGCTATTTAACCTTGGACCCCAGATCCGTAGGAGCCACGTTTTTCTCTTTCCTTGTGGTGTTCTCGGCATCCACAATAAAGGCATTTTATTCTGTTTTACTTCTCTCTGCGCTGGAAAAACCTATCAACAGTGAGGTCAGTGAGACAGGATCCACCTTAAGCTGAGCATCTTAGTAAGGAAACATACTAGTAAGGACAAGAAAAATCAACGTAATAAACTACTTCTACATACTAGCAACCAAGAGTTTGAAATTTAAACTTGTGGCACTGTAATCACTCATCCCAATAGCATGACAGATGTGAAACGGTGCGTATAGCAAAATACTTGTGACATTTACATGAAGAGCACAAAACATTTCTGAGGGAAATTAAAGGCCTAAATAAATGGAAAATCACTCTGTTCATGGACTGAAGAGTCAATACTGTGAGGATGTTTATTCTCCACAATGTGACCCACGGATATCATGCTATCCTTCACCAAAGTTCCAGCAGGCGTTTTGTAGAAGGTGATAATCCAACTTGATACGGAAATGCAGTGGCCTTCGAGTGGCCAAAGCCGTCCGAACGGAATGAATCTGGAAAACTTGCCCCAGTGCAGAACTACCAAGCTGCACCTCGAGGCTGAGGAAGGAGGGGTGGACCGGCCTCCGTGTGCGAGCTGACCCGGCAAAGGAGGCGGCAGTGTCAGGGGAAAGGGAACCGCTCACACGTTCGGCTGGAAGGGTTTGATACTCCTGTGGACAGAAATGAAGTCTGATCCCCTTCATCCTGTACACAAAAATTCTTTCAAGATGACTTACAGATCTAACCAGAAAAGCTAAACTTACACAGCTCTTAGAGGAAAACATAGAAGAGCATCTTCCTGATTGTAAATTAGGTAAAGGTTTTCTAAGAAGCCACGAAGTAGGAACAACGCACTTTATCGAAGGTGAGCTTCTGTTTATCAACACATGATGCACCGTTTATAAACTGCTTAAAATTCAACACTTACTCCCGAATTTTAAAGTGGACAAAGTATTTTAATGGCCACTTCATCAAAAAAATACAGAGCTGGCTCAGCACAGGACAGTTACTCAGCCTCAGTGCCTGGGAAGTGCAAGTCAGAAGCGAGTCAGCAGCAGCCAGTGGGGACGCCGCCGCTCGGGGCCGGCCTGCAGGACCGAGGGACAGCCCGTGGCAGGGAAACGAAGGTGCGCGCCCAAACCCCACAGCCAGCGCCTCCCATCCCTCCAAAGGCTGAAGTACAGCTCGCCTGCAGGGCGTCTCAGGACACCCGCAGGCGCGCAGGCCCAGATCAGAGACGCTCCGCTCGCGGGAGAGGAGGAAGGCCGCCGGGCGCCGGGCGCCGGGCGCGGCCGAGGGCAGAGGAACCCGGCGGAGACGCGGCGTGTGGGCGCGGCCGGCCCACGAAGCATTCGGCTTCCCGCCAACTCCCAGGGTCCCGCCTGGGGCTGGACGAGGGCAAAGAGCGGGAATAGGAGAAGCGGGGCGGGCCGGGCGCCGGTCTCCACGCTGGAGACAGCGCGTGGTGTGCTGTGACCGACCGCGCAGGAGAAAGCTCCGCTTCCTGCAGCCGGCCCGGGAAGCCGCTGCTCTCCACGCGCGGGAAGTCAGGACTGAGCCACACGCGAAGGCACCGCGACGCCCTTCCCACAACGGGGCGCTCCACCGCGCACGCCCGCGGCGACGCTGTCCCAGACCTCAACCAAGGGGCGCGCACTGAGAGGGCCGGAAAGGGGCTGGGGATGTAGCTCAGCGGCGCAGCATGGCCGGCGAGCGCAGGGTCGTGAGTTCGATTCCTGGTACCGGAAGAAAAAAAAACAACGGGCAAGGGACACAGGGACAAAGCCACAGTGCCGCCCGTAGAAGAGGCCGCTTCTGTGCGCAGGGCAGGGGCTCCGTCCTCGGGAGAGCCAGGGAAGCGGGCACGCACCCCGGGGGGCGCGGCCAGGCGGCGCCTCCTGCCGGGAGCTGGCTTCGGGCTGGCCCGAGGGGACCGCGGCCTCCCTGCCCCG